AAGCCCCGCCGAAGCCCCGGTGCCATGTCCACCATAGAGCGGGATCAGGACCCGCTCTATGGCGGCTGCGGGCGCCGGGACTTTAAAGCCCTGCCGCCGGGGCTTTAAAGTGGCGGCAGGGCCCCGGCGGCGTCCGCCATAGAGCAGGACCGGGTCGAAAGTCCTCCCGCCGGGGCCCTGAAGTGGAGACCCGCTCATCTTGCCACCCGGCGCGTGCATGCTCCGTGAGGGAGAAGAGGGCGAGCGCTCAGGTCCTCCCCGGGGAGCGGCTGTGGTGGCTCCTGTGGTCCGCTGGCTGAGGAAGCTCGCTTGGCAGCCGCTTTGATCAGGCAGGAAAGCCTCCCCCCCACGCCGGCTCCCCTTGGCACACTTGAACACTGCTCCTGCCGGCCCAGCCATTGCCCTTCCCCAGGCCAATTTTGCGCCACCTGCTGCTGCGCAGAGCCGAGGTGGATCTGGTGCCCGGTGGACAGACCGGCCTGCATGCAGCTTGCACAGCGGCCACCGCCGACTGAATCCGGCTGCTGCTCTCTTTCGGCGCTGACCCCGGGGCTGTCTCCGAAGGCAGATTTCAGCCGCTCCACCTCTGCTGGAACTCTGCTTCGAGCGAGTGAGTAGCTCCACCTCGTGACGCCCCGCAGAGCAAGAGCCGAGTGCTCGCCCTGAGCAGCTGGCTGCGGAAGAGGAGGGGAGGGGGTGTAATAGCCTCGTAAGTCCTCGGACTTACGAATGACAGCTCGGCAGCAGCCAGGCGCGCCTTAGCCAATCAGGCGCGCCTGTGGGTTGCCGGGCTGTCATACGCAAGGCTATTGGCTCGTCCGTCTGACAGCTCCATATAAAAAGCTGTAGACGGAGGAGAGGTGCCGGTCTACCTACAGTTACTGTTCTTGCCTGTAATAAAGAGTTTCTTTCTTACGGTTACCTCAGACGCCTCTGGCTTTTCCTTCTGCCGATCTAACAGGGGGCTTCGGGAAGCTTTGGGGCGTTTGAAAGTACCCGGCCATTAGGTCCCCAGAGCCGGGTTTCCATGCCGCGTTTCCCCCCTTTTGGCTTTTTGAATTGTTGTAAAACGGGGCAGCTGGAAGGCGGTGGAAGCAAGAG